TTGTTACTTCTTTTGGGGTAGATGTGTGCAAGAAAACAACAGCTGCTGACACTGACTATACTCGTCGCTAACCATGGTGCTGAAAAGACTTCCCTGTTTCAAGCAATAATGCAAGAAATTCTAAATAACACGTCATTTAGTGAATGCATAATCCTTCTCAGATGGGTTTAAAAATATTAATGTTCTTACTAAGTATGGCATTTAACTGGTTCACAAAGTTGTTGTTTTTTTCTGTGAGTATTCGAGAGAACAAGCTTTAGGCATGGCTGAATCTTGTCGTCAGCATGTTGTGCTGATTTTTTACAACCTGCCTCATCTCCTCCTCTGTATGTTGTCATAAGTCGTGCTGGGTTTTTTTTGACTAAAGTATGAAAAGTTTATCAAGTTTAAATGATCTAAAATGTTGTCCTCTTGGCGTCACTGTTACATCAGTCAGGCTGTAACGGACCTGGTCCCTCCCCTAAGACAGCTTTTGTTTGGTGCCTCGCAGCAGAGCAGCCGTGAAATTTAACGCTGTGAGTCGGATGAGACTGTGTCGTGTATTTTCGAACATGCGTTCCTAAACAGGTCGGAAACATGCATTGAATTTTTTTTTTTTTGCAGTAATAGATTCTTCTGCGTCTAAGTTTTGTGGACAACGATGGCGAACGAAAAACGAAGTCGCTCAAGGGACTATTGTTGTTTCCCCTTTTATTTGACTCTACTGCTGATTTTCGGGAAGCAGGCTGGGGCTGAACTGAGGTACTCGATCCCAGAGGAGATGAAAGAAGGGACGGCTGTTGGAAATGTTGCAAAGGATCTTGGTCTGGACAAAAGCTCTTTGATTGATCGACGGTTCCGTGTTGTGTCGGGATCTAAGGACGCTTTTTTCGAGGTAAACCCGGACAATGGAGCCTTACAGGTCCGTAAGAAAATAGACAGAGAGGAGCTGTGTCAGGGAAGCGGTGCTTGCCTGATTGAGCTAAAAATCCTCGTTGAAAACCCGCTAGAAATACATTATGTCGTTGTAGAAATTACTGATGTCAATGATCATTCGCCCAGTTTTTCTGAAAAAGAACAGACGTTTCAAATAGCTGAACACACATCTCCGGGAACAAGATTCGAACTGCATGCGGCCCGTGATCCCGATGCAGGAATAAACTCTATCCGCACATATACAATAACGTCAAATGATCATTTTGACATGGAAATTAGTCAAAGCGATGAGGACAAAATACCATTTTTAGTGCTGAAAAAGTCCCTAGACAGAGAACAAAAGAACAAACACCTGCTATTTGTGACAGCAGTTGATGGAGGTAAACCTCCAAGATCAGGAACACTAAATGTTTCTATTACTGTTCTTGACATAAATGATAATCATCCGACGTTTAGCAAAGACACCTATCAAATAGAAATATTTGAAAACGTATCGATTGGCACAACCGTTACAAAAGTAAATGCAATAGATCCAGACGAAGCAACTAATGGAGAAATAGAGTACAGCCTGAGTAAAACATTAGCACGTAAAGTATACGAGATATTTGAACTGGATAGTTTAACTGGACAAATTAAATTGAAAGCAGCACTGGATTTTGAGGATTCAGAAATTTACAGACTAGACGTTCAAGCATCTGATAAAGGGCAACCTCCATTAACAGGAAGGTGTA